TATATATATATATATATGGGATTTTTGTCTTTGAATCCAAAGTTTTACCGCAACTTATTTAAAAACCCACCAACTTTTATGAACACTTATAAACCCAATGTATCCCAAACAACTTATTTTTAGACCCAATCTATACAATACCCTCAATTCTTATACTATTTCTCTAATAGATATAAAATTCCAAAATTAACCTTCTTCCCCAAATAAACCTATCTCTCCTTTTTCCTTCATTCGTTTCACGAAATCAAAATCTAGGGGCGACCAACATGAATTCTCTCATACTCTCATCTCCCCCACTCTCTAGACTCTCTCCTGGTGCAAAATACCCTTAGGCTTTATAATGCGTAGAGGCGGAGCTCCGGTAGTGATGGCAGAAGGGGGGTATGTAGGAATGGGCCCATATTTAACAAGCGCTCAGTCAAGTGACAAGCACGAATTCTTCAAAGCTATTCGAGCTGGAGACCTAGAGATAGTGATGTCTTTTCTCTCCACTGAGCCCTAAATGCTCCGGCGGACCACCGTCTTTGACCGCCTCTTTGCCAAATCAAATTAGTTTTTTCCTAAGAAACATAAACGTGTGATGATGTATACAATATGTTGTTTGATCAATTATTCATGTCGACAAAAGGTCCACTCTTAATTTTCCAATTTTAAAAAAATATAACTCTTTATACTAAAGTGTAGCACCTTATCATGAAAGTATAGCTCTTTATGCCAAAGTATAGCTTTTTATGACCGTAGTTTGGGAAGGTAATTTTTGCCCATGCTCATTTACCCACCTAGTCTGTCCATCATTTGGCCTACCCAAAACCCACCTATTTAGTTAAATGGGTCTAATCGGGCGAGTTCATCTCCAACTACAATACATGGGTGTTAAATGGGCGGTCTCTGTTCACCCATTTGCCCACCCGTATTCCCAAAATTAAAACCTGAAAACCCCTAAATCTCTTCTCTTCCTCTCGGGTAGCTGAGCTCCTCATCGGCATCGATCTCGACCCCAATCCCTCCTCCTCCGCCTCCTCCTCCGACGCCTCAACCGCCTCTCGAACCCAGAGCCTCCGACGTCGCCTCCGCCACCAAGATGAGCTTTGCTTTCTTCATTCTCTCCTCTCCACTCGATCCCTTTTTTAAGGATTCTCCTCTGTCTAGATCTCTCGTTTCCTGTTCTTTACTTCTCTTTCTCAATAAATTTGATTATTTTCCATCGGATCTAGGGTTTTTCCTTTAATCATGCTTGATCTTGTGTGCTACTGGTGAGTTAGGTTTCTTGAAGAAGAAGGTGAATATGTGCTCGATTTCGGCCTTATTACTTGAGGAGCTCCAGACTGAGCTCCTCCACCTCCGATCTTTGCTCGATCTCGGCCTCGATGTTAGCTTGATCTCTGCTCGACCTCTATTTCGACTGGGCCTTGATCTCAGCTTGACCTCAGGCTCGATCTCAGCACTAAACTCTGCTGGATCTCCACTCAATCTCCGCTCGTCCGCCTCCAAATTCATCCTTTGTGATTGTCATTGATTGCAATCAGATATCTTGAGGTATTGTCTTCCTAATCTCATTTTACATTGTTTTGATTTGATCTATAAAATATTTTCTGGATCAATTACATGATAAAAGATGAAAAATTACATCTTGGTGCATAATCTTCGTGATTTTGATGATTTTAGGATGATTAGGCTCTAGTTTCTATTTTAATTTTTTACTAGTTTTGTTCATTTATATGAAGTTGTTCATCAAATTTAGCACATGGAGAAAAACTTGTTGCAAATGTGATTTGGGATTAGTTTCTGAATCAAGTATATGTAAATCAATTAATTTATATATTTTTCATTTGTATATGTGAGAAACTGATGAGTTGGGTTTTCTTGCATATACATGCCAAATTATATGTCTCTTCCTCAATTCATTGTGTGAAAATTTGGTGATCGTTTGGGTTACCCTTTAACCATTGAAATGCAAGCTTTGCTATTTCTGTAACTCCTTTAATAGAATTTCCCAATGGAGGTGAAATTTGGATATCTAGCACATCCTTTAGAATCATTTGTTGCATGCACGGTCCATGATGTTAACGAGGATGTCAGTTCACCAGGATGCCTTCCCATAAGGACTTCCAATGTTACCACACCAAAGCTATATACATCACATTTCTCGGTCACCATTATTGTATAAGGAAGCTCGATCTGTGGCTAAAAAACGGTGACAATGATTAAGCTAATGGGGGTGGGCCCCTCATATGAGAGGAGGGTGTGCCCCGTGCGGGAGTGCGGACTGGAGGATTCGAACTATGGAAGCTAGGCAGACTCCAAAGGAGTAGAGTTGAGCGAGCTGACCGGGTTTCCCTCGTATCAAAAAAAATAGAAGCTAATGTAGTTGTTGATTTGATGATTGAGTCCTTTATTGCTATGTTTTAATACTCAACAGAACACTTGCATCTATTAAAGTTTTTGTAGAAGACTTGCTCACAAATTAATACACTATACAGTTGTTAGATGGTTGAGTCCTGGTGCATGGCTAGATAGACTGAAATGAGACTAGACAATTTTTAATTTTACTACTTTATATTGAAGATTTATTAAAAACTTTCTCTTGGCCTACCAGGTCACCTTTTATTAAGTTGTTAGAATCTTTTCTTATTTGTGTGCAAGTCATTTTTGTAGTTCTTTTTTGTTTCTTTATATATCAATGGCTCCTAAATTTATTTGATTATCTTTTTTTTTGCAAGGTGACTTTGTGGAAGCTGTTGAGCAGTGTATCACAATCTATTAGTAATTTAATATTTATTATACTACTTGTTTTTACTTTTTATAGACATATGACTTGTAAATGTATCGCAATCAATTAGTACTATGATAACATCTTTTGTATTGGGAAGCAAAGTTAGTTGAAGCTGTTTAAGAACTTAAATCAAGCATCGATAATGTAAAGTTTGTGTCAATGTGATTTGTATCATGTTCTCATGTGATATATTATTGTATTTATTAGTTGTAGGTTGTCTAAAAATCACAACAGATAGCCAATCCTCATCAAACACCAATGATGAAAGTTACAATTTGATAGCTTTCAGAAGACTATAATTTGAAGACTTTCATGTAGATCGATTAAGGTTACAATCTGACGATCTTCACAATAACTGATGAAAGCTCTAATTCAACAGCCTTCATAATCAACATCGGGAGTTACAAATTGACGACTCTCATATTATCAAGAGCTAAATATAAGGATTATAATCTGATAATCCTTACAAAAGTTTAAAAAAAGATATTATAATTGACAATCTCTTCAACGCGAAGGTCGCGTTTGACCATTTTAAAATCATGAAACGGTCCTTCACTTAATGGGGTAATTAAACCACCATTATGGAGCTAATTAAGAGGGTAGTTATACCCCTTAAACCCCTATAAATATGGAGTTTTCCAGCAAAATAGGGGCTGGTGGCAGAGAGCTGGACGAAAATAAAAGAAAGAGAGAACAAGAGAGGAGAAGAAAAAGTTACTTTTGCGCAGTGGTGATCGGCGTGACGATCGGACCCTCATCCGTGGTCTGATCGATGTGAAATTTGGAGGATAGCTACTACACTCGTCTTTCCTAATTCTGAACGGTGGAGATTGCTTTCTATCAGTTAGATTTGGAGATATGAAGGTTTTACCGAAGCTGATCGTTCCAGTAGTGCAGAGAAAAATCACTTTTGCGCAATTGTGATCGGCATAACGATCGGACCCTCATCCGTGGTCCGATCGATGTGAAATTTGGAGGGTAGCTACTACTCTCGTCGTTCCTAATTCTGAATGGTGGAGATTGCTTTCTATCAGTTAGATTTGGAGATATGGAGGTTTTACCGAAGCTGATTGTTCCACGAGTGCAGAGAAAAGTCACTTTTGCGTAGTTGTGATCAGCGTGACGATCGAACCCTCATCCATGGTCCGATCAATGTGAAATTTGGAGGGTAGCTACTACACTCGTCGTTCCTAATTCTGAATGGTGAAGATTTCTTTCTATCGGTTAGATTTGGATATATGGAGGTTTTACCGAACCTATAGAGGACTGGCTAATCTTTTTTGAGATCGGCCAAAGAGAGAAAGAGATCAGCTACTCTTTGAAATGAATGAACTTGTTTTGTTATCATCAACTCTTTTTAGAGTTCCCCTAACTCGATCAAAGTTTTAAAACTTGCTTAAAAAGTTCTTCTGATCAACGATTGATCAGCCATTCTTGACTAAAAGGATTATTAATCGTTTCTGAAATTAACTCTTTCAAAAGAGTTTCTTAACTCGGCTAGAGTTTCAAACTTATTCAAACAAGTTCACTTCAACGTCCTACGGAGCTGGAATTTTTGGGGACGATCAAACCATCAAGGGTTGGATTTTTCGAGATCAGATCATCCAGGAGATCGGCCTGAGAGAAGTTCTTAGCAACAAGAAGATCTTAGAGTATCCACCAGCAGCAAAGGATCAAGATACTTGGTTTATTAACAGATTATTCGGTTCAAACAACTCTTTTTCACAGAGTTTAACACTCGTCCTGAGTTATCAAACTCGTTTAAGAGTTCTTAATCAAACTTGTCACGCAAGTTAGTTGTTCCAGCGAATTGAGACGTACGGATCGTCAACGGAGAGCAAATTCGATGCGAGCATTCGAAGGAGGCACTCCATCGCCACCGTGAAGAACCCATAATTAAACAAAGGGGGGAATTCAAATTAATTCTCCTCTCTTTTATAATCGAAAATCTAAATTGTAATTGAGATTGAGAGAATACAAATCAAATATATTTCTTTTAATTTTTCTTTTTACTATAAATTTTCCACCAAACATTAGTATTTTATCACAAACCTAGCATTAGGTCATGAGTAGCGATTACTAGTTTTAGTTCTTGATATTCTTGATATTTGGATTAAACTCTATATTTTTGTTCCTTACGGTAAATATATTTGTTACACAGAGCCTAATATATTATGTATTACATCATATGTATATTTGCCAATAGAATTCTTCTGACTCGTTTTTTGAATAAGAATTATATTTCTAGTTTCTAATTCTCGAAGGATTCTATTTGGGGGGGAAACTCCTAGAAATTTTGCAAAAAACCCTCAAAAAGTTGTAAAC